ACACATCTTTAGCACTGAAGCCTTTTATGTTGCCTCCCCTCAGGTGACGGCAAAGGGCGCAGCACCAGCCGGTCCCGACACCCTGTTTACCACATTTATGGAAGTTTAAAGTCCCATTACAGGTGCATTTTTATCTTTTATGAAGTGTCTTAATTACAAAGAGACAGTGCTGACTCGAGTTTGATACATTTCTTAGTTACGCTTACCCTCATACACATATATTACACATATACACATGTATTTGGAGGAAGCAGTGGGGATAATAATGAGGGACAAACATAGATATCTTAGTACAAATCATTAAAATATGGCCCTATAAGAATCATAGACAAAATTAGAGAGTTATTAGTCACAACGATTTATAAAGTGTGTTTAGTCGTGTTTTTTCCCCTTTTTTATCCTCAGTAAATCTGTCTGTTTATCCATCTTCTGAGAGATGAAAGAACCTCGATCATAAATACTTTATCATAGCATCAGTAGTGCACACGCGCCACACACAGATCCTTTGATCGGGTCTGACGGCCTTTGTAGTGTTTTACAGATTGACAGTAATTGAACCAATTCCAGCAACATTAAAGACACAAACCATCCAGTCACAAGTTCTGTGAACTGACATGACGGGACAAAGCAAACCAATCCAATTCCTTCGATAAGAGATGACAGAACCTCCACCGTCCCTAACCCCAACTATCCGCTTAGCGATGCACCACCCGTATATGTTTCCAAAATGTCACTGATAGCCTTTTGATTTGCCCCCCACCCACCAGTGAATACTCAGTAGGCTAGTCTACGCGCCTCAGGGCTGAAAATACACACACGGGTGGTGCACCTTTAACGGACGCTAAACCTGCACAAATAAGACAGAAAGAGATCATGTGACTCTGACAGCAGCCACAAAGGCAGTAACCTGATTGGGGTATAAAATCCCAAGTATTGGTTCTCAGTCACGTTTACATTTCTGGCTTAAGTTTTGATGAATGTGCTTGTGTTTGCATTTGGTATAAGTATTGCATTCGATGTGGTGCTTATTAATCTCTGTATCTTTGTAATAACATACATTTGATTTGTTTATGTTTTAACCGAGAATGTGACAACATCCGAAATGTATCAAGAAAGTGAAAAACTCATATTTAGTTCTTTATTCCCCGACTTAAGACATATGACATGTTTTATTGATGTTTTCACAGGCTGCTCACCTCAGCCTTCATTCATCAGTCTGTCTTTGCCCGGTTCTTCTATCCCGCATTCATTATTTCTACACATTTAATCCAAATGTAATAAGCAGGAATATTGTGTGTGACAGGCGGAAAAATAAATGGACAAACAAACGGACGAATGGATGGATGTGGGGCCTGAAATTTTCTTCAGCATCTTAAGCCTTCGAGACAAAATGCACGCTTAATATCTTTTGTTGGCATGCAGTAATTGCTTGATTCTCCACAGTGGGAATGGCAGCAGCTGAATCATATCAGGCCGGTAATCCCCATTAAGAACCTGCTGTTAAGAATATCTGCTTTATTATTTGCTGGCGCTCATTCACTCAGGATGGATAGAAAGTAGCCCTGCAGACACTGTAGCTCTGGCTTTCTCTCCCGCTGGCACTTCACCAGCTCATCTGAACCCACACAGAGCGGTGGAGGGCTCTCTTTATTAATGGGGAGGTTATAAATAAACAGGTCAACTGTGGGAGACTCCTGACATCTCTCATCAAGTTAGAAGACAGTCGTCGCCATGGTAACCCATGGATGACGTTTTCTCGGTCGCCCAGATATGGAGGTAAAATGCAGCTCAAATTATGATGACACCTCGCAACCAGATCACGTATGTTAGAGGAGATAATTTTGAGTCCATTTATAAAAAATGTAGATTCACTATATGAACAGGGGATGTTTTGAAAATTGTTTAAAAAAGGTTTTACCTCACCACACATTATGTAATATTTTCACCCTCAAATAATCTCAAAATCAATCATTTGGTCAAATCAAATCGTACCATAGCCATTGTAAATCCCCAGGGTTATTTTAAAACTACATTCCAAAATATATTCAAATATATCCAAATTAGTCATATATACAGTCAAGTATATTGCAATGGATTGAAAGAGGCATGTATTTACTTTCTGTGGATCAATTAATCAACAAATCATCTGTTTATTTATTGTTAAATGGCAAGAAATGTGGGAGTTAAAAGTAGTAAAAGTGAATTTTCCAGCAGCAATGCTTCTCTCTAGAAGTAAAGCAGCCTCTTAAGTTTGGCAATGGATCACATAACTTTTTTTGGAGTGCCGATGTGAGGCTTTCGGGACAGAGGATGTCGCATGTGTACAGACTGTAAAGCTCTCCGAGGTTAATTTGTAATTTGCGATTTCGGGGTATACAAAGTAAAATGAATTGAATTTCTCGTTGAAGAACTTAGTGGTCCACTATTCCCAGTCGTCTCTGAAAAGCTCTGTAGGCAACGGGGTCAGATTGACCTCGTGTTTGTCACAGTTTGGCTTAATGTGACATCGGTTGTCAACAAAGAGTAAGGCAGTGGTTGATGAGATTAAAGACCAGTTTAATGGCTCTGTTGACAATTCCTAGGGGCATTTTTCAGTGTGGTGACACCAGCTGCTGCGGATTTAAGTCTGTTGATGCGATCCGTCCTGCATCTATGAAATATTTTGATTGAATTTGAGTTTCATACAGACAGAAAACAGGAAGAGAGGGACAAGCTGTACGGGACAAATAGAAACATTCAGGAATGACATTCAGATGTGAATGTTTTGCTCAGATGATTCTCATCCCCAGAGAGAGAGCTGGTGTGTGTGTGTGTGTGTGTGTGTGTGTGTATGTGTGTGTGCGTGTGTGCGTTTGACAGTGAGCGATCTACGCCCAGCTGAGCGCACCACCTCTGTTTGTTTAGATTTCCTCTGCACTTCACCTCCCCCTCTTCTCAAAACCATCCTCTCTGTTCTCTCTGCACGACCGTCCCTTCATCCCCGCTGTCACTAACCAATGCCTTTCCCCAATGAGGACTGTGGGGGACTCCAATACTCCTTGACAGGAGATGGGTGTATGGAGTGGTCAAAATAAATGTGGAAATAACAAAAAAAGATGCTTTAGTCACAGTGTTCTTTGAACTTCTCTCACCAACTTCTGGGATCTTTCTCTGGTCTTTTTCTTTAGCCAGCATGAGCTTAATATGCATCCATAACATTGAAAACATTTGTTTTCTAGCGACAAGCCACATCACACAATAACAAACTGAAAGCAAGACAAAACGTCTTATTACTCTGTGGGTCGTGTTGCTGGTCACTCTCAGAAACCAGCCCTATTAATGGACTTGCATAGAGCGGGAGGACGGCCGCCAGCGATGACATCGCGCCCTGTTTAGCGGCTGCCGTCTGCAGCGTTTTATCAAAATGTAAAGACCAACTTCCCAAATTGACGAAATTCCCATTCGTCTAGAAGCATTAACATTAGAAAATAGGGCCATGGTTAAAAAATGCACAGGTTAAACTTTTAGAGTGCTTTCATATCTTAATGTGCTATAATTCATGGATAACATTTTGCCGTAAAAACTTCAACGCCTGCTCTGTTTCACAGACGATGATGAGCGTGAGAACAACTGAATAACTCTTTGATTTGTGTTGGATGAACAAAGAAAAAGAAAATTTTTATATTAAATCATGTTTACTACTGCCGGCTAAATAATGAATCATAAGTTGAGTAAGAAGCGTAATTTCCCATGAGGCCCGACCTATGGTGTTTAATACAACTGCACACTGAAATCCTTCTTGCTGAGTTCTTATCGTGGTGTGAATTTGAGCAGGACGGGGAACATCTGGCTCTCTTTAAACCTCACGCTGCCTCTCTGCATACCTGAGTCTGCCTCTTTATGTGGCAGCTTGACTGCTGATGTCACTGGAGTCAAATGTATTCATCTACTTGCTTTGACTTTATGCAGACGGGCAAACCGCGACCGCCAGCACACTCAAACGCACTCGTTTCCAGCGTTAGCTCAGTAATAGACACATCAAAGACCTTTTTTATATTCTTTATTCTTCCATTATCTTTCACTTTTTGTTCCTTAACTTTGCTTATTGCTTGTCCCTTTCATCATCACTCCGTCTCTTTGTTTAAACCATTTTGTTATTCAAACATTCTTTGTGCCAACTCTGTTAGGTGAAAGAAACAAACCGTCTCTCTTCATCACTTCTGTCCTTTGTCTCCTGAAAGCTGGAACGCTTTCATTAATTTGTTCCTGAAATGTGTTTAATCCTGCAGACCACCCAGGTACAATGTGGGAGGTTCTTACACATTAGCGTTGAAGCATATTCAGTATTTTGATTCATGATAAGTCTCGTTTGAGTTTGGTTGTAGTTCTAGGTGGATCCAAAACAGTCACTATCTTCAGTGTAAACTGTTCCATCAGTTAGTTTTAATCTGATATGCAGCCTTTCGACTCTCTAACATTGATCATGTTGAAAGTGCTAAATTACTTTTGTATCAGCTCTGCTCCATAGGAACAGTCATTTCTATTTTTGTTTGTTTCCTTCTTTCGTGTCTCGACAGTGTGGTTTTTAATACTCTTTAAACATTTACCCCCAAATGTGTTTACTTTCTTATTTCCACAGGCCCTAAACGGCAACGCAGATTTTCCAAATGTTGTTTGGAATTATTTAAAACCATCTGACACAATGCAATATTATGTTTACACAGTTTCTTGAAAAATATTCCAGACAAATATACATATTTTTATTTTCCTCTCTAAGAACGAATTCCCCTGGCTCCAACATAACCAGGTGGTAATTCATACGTTCCAATCCTTCTCATCTCAAACTTGAATGTCATGTATCGGCTGCAGTGCCAGTGGGGTTTTGCAGGTGCCAAAGATATGAAGAAATGTTCAGAGCATACGATGAAAGCTGTTTCTGGTTCCCGGTGGCAATTTGACAAATCATCTCTCTCTCTCTCTCTCTCTTGTCTCCTCTTTTTTTTTTTCTTCCTCTCCTTTAGGTCACATGTAATTGTTTCACTATCAGTGACGGAGAGCTGCAAGAGATTGGAGTTGGGCTGTATCCTAGGTAACACACACACACACACACGAGGCAACGTGTGAAGCATATATCTCATTAATAACAATCTAGCTCTTAATCATTGTTGCCTCTCTTTATCTTACTTGCACACTAAAAAAGCCACACAATTTAAATGTAGCCCTTGAGGACCAGTGCCGCCCATCTTTTACCTGCTCGCTTCCATTCCAAGGGGCCCCCCCGGCCCCCCTTTTCTATTTTCATGACAGTTCTTTGAAGTACGAGGAAGAAGGAAGGAAAGGAAGTAATTTGCTTTTGTTGTCGGGACGGAAACTTGAAAACGAATGCTGACAGAATGTCCTGAATCTATTGGAGGGAGACGGGCGGGAGCGGGGGACGCAGAGAGAAGCGAGAACGCATGGAGAAACACGAGCTTTGACTCCAACTGATCTGTTGTGATTCCAGTCTGGCATGTGGAAGTGAAACACTCGCACACGCACACGGACTCAAATTCAAACAGAGAGCTGGGCGGGATGCACTGTAATCCCCGTACGGAGTCCCGGGTGAATAGAGTGGGATTTAGCTTGTCGTTGCACATGTTGTTAGAGCTACACACACAAACCCGCACACACACACACACACACACACTCCTGGTATGTCAGCTGGTTTATCTGGTGTTGAAATGTCAGATGGTCACGCTGACTTTTAGTGAAGCTCAGCCAATCCGCGTGTGCTTGTGTCGGTGTGTGTCTGCGATTATTTCCATAACTCAACCATAAATGATGGATGAGTTCACAGGACGGTCCCCCGCCTATTCATATTTTGGGTTGCTTAGCAACGTCTGGGTTTTGCGAGGTGAGGGGGATTGCTGTGCTGGAGCTACACCCCTGTTCACCTCGCCTACTGTACGTCAACAACTATTTTTCTTTTCTCTCTTCTCCTCTAAGCTCATCGGCCTATTGGAAACATGATGTGAAATCCCATCCTCTGAGGTCTTCCTCTTGATGAAATGCATTTACAGTACTAGACTAATAACAGTTGCACATCGACTCAGAGTAACTCGTACCCATATGCAGCCACAGGCGAAACCTCACAGAGATCCAACAGGGAGAAGAGATGAGCGGACGATATCTTACTGTAAAGCCGGTAACCTCTCTGTGCGTTCCTCGCGTTTTCCCGTGAACTGCTCTTTGCATTGTGACTTCACATTCTGTAGTGTTTTCTGTCGAGGTACCAAAGGAGCGCCGTGTAGACTTTGGTGCAATTGTGTCATGTAACATGTTGGATGTTCGATGCCTCAGGCAACCGTCGTCTAGCTTTACTCTTCGCCGTCTCTCTGACGCTTGCTTTCGGCAGTGGAAGAAGAACTGAGTTTACTTTAATCTTTTGGCCACATATAAAACTATTAATACGGCGTATCTAAATTTCCTCATTCAAATTCTACTCCCGTTGAAGAGCGAAAGAGGGGCGTCATCAGATCTTTGTAACGTTACTTGAATTCACTTACATTGGAGTCCAGCTGGAGCCATCAATTCTAAAATGATGCCAGAAACAATAATTCAATCATATTTTAAATTGTTGTATTTTGTGAGTCAATATATATCTGTAGCATGTTGTCTTCCTCTGATGTAAAAGGTACACAGTACTCAGTGCAAGTGTTTTGGAGACCTTTTGTGAGTGATTTGGGGCTACAATGACATAGAATTGTAACATAATTAAACATTCTTCATATCTAGACGTAATCATAAATGTGAAGCTCACTTTATCTGTTGTTACTCTGGTTGACACAGAATATCGGTTGTTAATTGCACACAGTTGGTCCTCAATTTGTATTTCTTAGTCCTAATAACATTTAATGTAGTAACATATTTAAACTTCTGCACAGGAATAATATAGAGGCAGAAAACAGGAGTAACAAAGTAACCCTTTCTTTTATTACATATAGTAATTGATACTGCGTCTGTGATATTTGTCTCTCTATCCTGCTGCATTCAGCAGCAGTTTGTTAGTGGGAGCAGATATTGTTAATGTTCCATGTGCTTTAGTTAAATAATCTAATTAGTATGCTGATTAGCTGCTCTCCATCAGATAAAAGCCTCCTTTGGAGGGCTTGATTTCAGTTGATATTCAACACGATACTTCTCTACTCTAAAACAAAGCCCGGGGTGCATCGTTTCACAAAGGCTAAATACACACACACACACACTCTCTTTATCGCGTGCATCTATTGTTTTCTCTTATGAATGTATTTACAAGAACAGCACTAATGGAGTGTCTAGTATTTCTTCCATGCCATGTGCAGAGTAATGTAATGTTAATGTTCTGGGAGTTTTACAAATACAAATTTAAAAAAAAGAGCTAAATATTCCCAGAAATTACTATGTCAGCATGGCAAAGAAACACATCAAGGACAGACTGTAGTTATTATTTGGGAAATCCATCACCAGTTTTTCTAAAAGCCTTTTAACATTTCTATGATTTAATAATCTAATGAAGTGAGGGAAGACGTTCTTCAATCTCTGCTTAAGTAAAAGCAGTGTAAGATAAATATGCTGTACTCTACTAGCTATTAGCATAAATGAATACTTTTGACTGGTACTGTTTGTTTCGGGATCATACTTTTTGACTTGTTGCAGCTGGTTTCATCCATAATAATCCATCACGGTTCACGATTAAGACCTTTCAGTGTAAATAAGATTCATGAAAAAGCATCAATACCACCAACTGCTGTTGAGCATCCGCTTGGACTGTAGCAAAATAAAGTATAAATGAAAACAGTATATAGTTTTCATCATATTGTTATGAGGCCGACACTGTCAGGTTGTGTGTGTGTGTGTGTGTCTGTCTCTGTGTGTGTGTGTGTGTCTGAAGGATTTGCTGGATCTATCTGAAAATTAGGCAACGAGTCTTTGTTGTGACAGAAGTAGAGTACCCATCATTTCCTGATTTATTTTTTGTATATGTGTCTTAGAGCGACTGAAAGAAAAGAGGAGTGACGTTTGTTGTGACAGAAGCAGAGTACTCATTTTGTCACACTGTGCGGGGAATTATCTTTGATTGTGTGGCTCCACGAGTGTCTAGCTTTCCGTCTGGGCTTCATTTGTGCAACTCAGTCATTATTTCTACGTTCTATGATTCCTATTATGAGAAGCTGCCAGAGGATACACTCAAAAATAGAACCTGTTGGCTTTACTTTAAAAAATCACAGAAAGGATTTCCACATGATTGAATTGGTTTCTTACTATGCTAAACAATTACGCTGCTCTAACACTGTAATTGGGTTAATATAGTTCTGTAGAGTTCGATATGAATGATTTAATCAGTTTCCACTAGATTCAGTTGAGTTAGTTGATTAGTTAATTAAAGACATTTCACCTATTAATTCGCATCAACTCAATACACTTCATTTGGCTGAACATAACTTCTTAATGCTCAAAGAAAAAAAAAGAAAAAAAGTGAAGTCAAAGAATAAATATTAAGTGGAAACAATGAAAATAACACAAAGACACCTTATGTGGTTGAGGCAAGAGAAGTTTATTTACTTTGCATGTCATTTAAGCTGATGCTTTTATCCAAACGACTTACATTGCGTCGCATTACATGACACATTACATTAGATCTTTAACCCATGGTTTACATTTTTAACACATCCCACACAGTGGGAGCAGTGCGTTAGGGGTTAGAGGTTGGGTGTCTTGCTCAAGTACACATGGAGCAGCCGGGTTTCAAACCGCCAACCCTGCGGTTCCCGGCGCACCGTCACTACTCCATGCACCACGCTCACCTGTTTTATTTCCCCCAAAACATTACAACATTACAAACACATACTTCAAACATGAACGGACTAACAGCTGATCACAGTATTGAACAATAGTTCATCTGCATAAGGATGGATGCAGATATTTCACCTTTCCGTGTGTGTGAGGAACACTGATAGTAATGCACTTGACTTCAGATATCTCATCGGGCCTGTTCTCTCTATGATTACCGGGATCACTTAATATCGACGTGACGTATCAGAATGTGTTGGAACAAATGACCATTTCATTTAACGTTGGTCTCGATGATTTGAGATGCCACTAAACAGCTGGACACATGGCAGTTAGCGGCTCAGCAGGACGAGGATGTAGTTGTCTTTCTCAACCTTTACCATGAACTCTCTTTGTTCTTTTGTTTGCCGGAAAGGGTTCGCAAGTTAAGGATTTCATCTCAGATGCAATTCTCCCTCTCTCTCTCTCTCTCTCTTTTTCCATCCCATGGGCCTCATCATCTTGTCCGCTCCCTCCCAGTTTATCTCTGCTGAACCATGACTGTTGGCCAAACTGTGTGATGGTGTTTGTGGGAACGAAACTGCAGCTCAGGGCTGTTCGGGATATCAACCCTGAAGAGGAGGTACTGCATGAAAATAAAAACTCACGCTTCACTATTACAACATTAACAAACATGGAATGTGAACAGGATTTCCTCGACTGTGACCTCGCCTCTGCTTTTATGTTCATGTTCTTTGTGAGTAATATTGTTTTGAATGGTTTTACTTGCTGCTGTTATTGATGGAGGAGACGATGCCTGAGGCTGTTTCAATGATACATTATCTGGAACTGAACCATATTTTAAATGTAAATTCGGGTGTAGAAGTTATAATACAAAATGATAGGAGAACAATAAAATGATGTTACTAGAGTAATCCTTAAAATTGGAGCCAATGAAATATCACTTTGACACAGTCCGAAGGACACGTCTGTGCTTTCCATTCTTCACCAACCCTCCTGATCATGTAATGAGATGCGTCCAGGCCATCTGGAAGATATATTCATGCACACTTTACTCCATCAATATCTCTATTTGCTCCTAAAGCAATCTGCCCAATTTAGATTTGGAATGATTTGTCCTTCTGCACTGAACTGCGTTTAACTATGATCTACGGTCCAGCAAAATAGCAAACTGAACTCTGTTTCTCTCTTTTCAGCTGACTATAAGTTACATTGAGACGTTGTCGTCCACAGAGGAGCGTCGGAGACAGCTGGAGGACCAATACCATTTCACATGCCGCTGCCAGCATTGTGACTCTCAAGACAAAGTAACATGAACACAAATTACATCATTTCATTTATTGCTGACTTTACAGGGTTTCACATTTTTACATAATTGTCATTCATTTTCAAAACGCAAACTATGGCAATCCGTGAATTGACGTGAACATGATGGTACACTCCCTGCTTGAATCATTTTACATCGTAAAAACGGTTGTTGCATGAAATGTTTCGATGAAACTCACACATTCATTCTCTCCTGTTCCAATACACAGACACAAAAACAAAAACCCTCGTGTTTTGTGGGTTTCAGACTCCGACCCAAAATGTAATGGTTTATGTTACGTGGACACCAAAAAAAAGGTGGTTCCTCACACTGAAACTGTGTAATCACATTCCTGTCCCCACAAGACTGATAAACCACACACACACACACACACACACACAAACATACAGCCGCTGTTGGCTGTGTATCTGTGCATGACGTGTTTCAGTGTAACCTTCCCTGTCCTCTCCTCTTTTCACTCCTCCTCTCCCCCTCTTATCTCCTCTTCCTCTGTCTCTCTGTTCACGCTTCACCTCTTCACACTTCATCTCTCTCTCTCTCTCTCTCTCTCTCTCTCTCTCTTTGACCACCTTCTGAAAAATGAGAGACATAATCTGGTCTTTCAGAGGTGGTTTTCTTTTCCGTCCATCTTAATTTACTCAATCTCTCTTTTTCAGTATCTCACTGTCTCGCTCCATACGTTTTCATTTCTCTCACCTTCTGTTTTTTTTTACTGCCGTCACTTCTGACTCTAGCTTTTGTTTTCCATACATGACACTTTACCACAACACAGCAGCACTCAGAAAGGTGTGTGTGTGTGTGTGTGTGTGTGTGTGTGTGTGTGTGTGTGTGTGTGTGTGTGTGTGTGTGTGTGTGTGTGTGTGTGTGTGTGTGTGTGTGTGTGTGTGTGCGCGTTTGAGATAAGGTAAGAGAGAGCACTCTGTCGATTCATTCAATTTATTCAATCCACCTTTTGTTCTGCAAGCAACACGCAAGAACACTTTCTGTTGTTTGTCGTCTTTCTCTTTAATCTTGATGATGATGGTTGGGACCTAAAGTAGTCATGGCCACAAATGGCTGTTGACATCAAACACAGGAAATTGTGTGTTGTTTTTTCCATGAAGCAAAAGGGACATGAATAAAAAAATATTTCATTCCTTTAAAGTTCCTTTCTTCAGGCATGTAAACATCTTAAAGTACCAATTTGGGTTTAAGTATTCATTTAGATTTAAAATAGAACCAGACTCCAGATGAAGCCATAGTTTCTCTTTTTCAATCAACTTTTCTCCTCGACAAATCAACGCTGACACAAGCTGGGGTCGATCTTTGTGCATCGCTTTTACAATTTGTCTACCTGATTATGTCTATTACTTTTTTCTTGAAATCAAGAACACTTAAGCCATAACTAGGCATCAATTCTCTATAAATTGGTTACAGAATTGCTGCTAACTTTACGACTCGGGTGTTGATTGTAATAAACACGGTGTGTGTGTGTGTGTGTGTGTGTGTGAGAGAGGGAGATCCTGCATGTAAGTCAAGTATGTTCATGAGTGTGTTTATTTAAACAGTAATATGTAAAAAAAACTTCAGGTTCTGTCTGTCCTCTTTCGCAGGACGGACTCATGTTGTCGGGGCACAAATCCACATGGGACCCGCTGAAGGAGGCTCTGCCCAGACTGGAAGGACTGAAAGCAGAGTCGGGTATCCTTTACCTTCGAGATCCACTGCAGCCAATGGACAATTGTCTTAATCCACCATCTGTACCCGTTATTTCTATTAATACATTAGTTTTTTTCAGTAGAGTTGTTGCTTCTCCTCAAATCACCCCCAGATTGGCAAGCGTTACTGGAGGGCTGCAGTCATCTCTTATCCACTGTCGGTTGTGACGTGTCCGATGAGAATGTGTATAAACTGAGAATGACTGACATGGCTGCAGATGCTTGCATTCACTTGGGCCACTGGGAGGAGGCTGTGGGATACGGAGAGAAAACACTTCCAGTATACAGGTGAGTCGGTGTGTATGTGTGTGTGTTTTACCAATAGATGGCTTTATTGTTCTGTGATTTAAGGGAGGGAAATACTTGTTCTGCCTTTAAAGCTGGATATCCACTTCATGGATTGAGTCTATTTTCCTTCCTTAATCCAGTATGAACAGTAATGTGACTCATCTTGAGTGCATCTGAAGGGCAACTCCCTTAGTTGGGGCTCACTCATACCCACCTATTAGTGTTTTTACCAATGTAGAACACTTCAAAGTTATTGCTTCACAGATTTGGGCTGCAACTCAACTGCCTTCATAGTCACCACGAGGCTTACGCACAGCATTTTATGCTATTTTAGACCAGGCACAGTTGTTTTTACCACTCAGCCTCAGACTCAGATTCTCAAACAAATGCATTGCAAGGGTAGAATATCTGTTAAGATAAATGCATCCTTTGCTTGTGTTTTAGGCAGTGGGCTAGATGTGGATCTTTGGTTGTCACTAACTCTTTAGAAATACACAATCATCGGGTTTTGTGACAGACAGGCATCAGAGTAATGTGTTTAACATTGTTATGGAATCATCTTGTATATCCTGGAAACAATGAAACGAGAATCGAGTGAGGTATTTGGAATACACAATTTTATAATTGACTTATTCTTAAGTCAATGTCTTGAAATTTGTATGTATAAATAAAAAGGAGAATTTGTGCAGCAAATAAAAAAGTACAAAGAAAAAGAAGACTTGAGAAATCGTGAGAAGAGGAAGGGGAGACCACAAGAGCACTTATTTAATTAATAATAATTATCAGACATAAGAAATACCCTAAATCTCTTGTCCTAATAAAAGGGGAATTTACTGAAAGCAGATTAATCTAATCCAAAATAAATCCAAAAATTTAGTTTGCTCTACATCTCATTGTTAAGATGATAATTAACATTGTTAATTATCTTCTGGAGGAGGTTCCTCCAGACTTGAACTCGCGTCCGCAGTTTGTTTGTCCTTTCATCCCTCTCAAACGCTACAGATTATTTCTGCCGACGTTTATTAAAGAGTAATTGATCCCGTGTGAAGGGCAGAGCTGAAGTGGCAGGGCTATGCTCTTCTCCCGCCCTCTCCCTCTCTTCCCCCTCTCCCCCCCCTCGCAAACACGCACATCCACACGCACACAGGAAACCTGCAGCAGAGAAACCATATACACTCAATCAATAAATAACCACACACGGTGCTGCACAAAGAGGGAGATGGTGATGAGGTGAACGGGATGAGTGGTGACATGTCGTCGTGAATGGGAGGTGAGAGAGGAGACGTGAGCAGCTGATGAATGACAAATGGGAGAGGGGTGAAAAGGAATCACAAGGGAGAGGGAAAGACGACCAGAGGAATGCAGTTAAGTATTAGTGTGGCGAGCAGTGGAGACACCAATGGAAGAGAAGGAGAGAAAATAGTTAGAGAGAAGGAGTGGGAGTAAAAAGCTTCCATATTCATCTCCCATCTTCCTCTGGGCTCTTTGGATGGCACAGAAGAAGGATAGCTGCAGGAGTTCTCCATCTCTCTTCTGTCCTTCCGCTCATTCGGTATTCCTTTCTTCTTTCAATGTCTCTGCAGGTCTTTTTTCCGTTTCTGTATTCAGCTGGTGATGTATAGAGAGAGTTTTTCCTCTGTGCGAATGATGCACACCTCCTCGCTGCAGGCCGTACATGGCAGCTTGTTGGATGTCTTCATGCTGCACATATTTTACCGATTGACTCATGCATGTGAATGCTTGTGTTCATGTCTGCACATCAATAAGCATGTTCTTGGGCCTCTTACATGCGTAAAGTTGAGCTTCAAAATAGATAATTTAAATTGTCTTTCTTGAAGCCTTTTGTTGTTTAGTGTGTTTTCCTTTCTTATTTCTGTGAGTCCAATCATATGTTTCTTAACTTCTTAGACCTGAAACTCATTCAGTTTCTATTCATTTTCCTTTTTTGTAAGTCCCTTTTAGAATAAACAAGGAAGTATTTCAGATATGCATGTATTCAGCAGTTTTGCAGAGAAGGTGTAGAAGGAGAAGGTGTTCTTGCAGGATGGTGATGTACGGCCTTGCTGACGGAGCTCATGGAGCAGTTGGTGGTGTAAAATCTTTTAAGCATTCCTATTTTGGGCAAATTGTTGCCTGAAGTCAATCTCCTTAACTGCTTTTAAAAGCATAAACCGGTCAGGTCTGGGAGCCGAATGCCCCCCAGGTGTTACCTGCTTATGTTTGGATTTTAAAATTGGCTTTACTAATGTAAATCTAAAGGGCTGCAAGATGATTAACAAAAGAAAATGAGAAAAATATATAATATTTCTACCAAATAACTACAATTTGGACTTGGACTGCAGTGAAACAGTGATGTAAAGCTTATGCAAATGTTCTTTGTTTCAGCAACAGGTGCACAGCGGTGCTTCGTTTGCTAAACTGTGGAAATGCGGGACGCGCAAAACAGAATGAGGCGTCAAACAAAACACAATGGAGAATACTCCCAGCTAATTCCTCCTCCCTGTTCTCCTTCAGTTTGTTACTTAGTAAGATAAAAGTTGGCCTCTCACTAACAGCAGGCCGGGGATATTTTGTTCCCAACAAGAGCCTCATTAGTTCCACTATATTCGCATGGAAATGCTGCACTTTTCTACAACTATTAATTTCTCCTTCTTGCCCTTTCTCTTACTCATAGCCGAGAGCCGTGGCTTTCTAACTAGCAGCATGCGGCAAGACCGCGTACTTCCCCTTTAATTTACTCCCCTGGGGGGAGGGGAGGAGGGGAGAATTCAGGAGACACAAAGTTAATGAAATTAATTTAACCGCTGTGTGGGTTTATATTGAAAGAGGAGATATAATTGGAGTTTGGTGCTGATGTGTGTGTTGCACGTCGTGGCAGCTCGAATCGTCTGCTTTGTAATTGAATTAACATTGTGCTGTTATTCATGGAGGACTAATGCTGTTGCTTTAGTGTCTGAACTTCCCTTTTTAATGATTCAATTGTAACCACAGAAACGGGGAGCATCTATGTAATTGGCCGGTTAGTTAGTAGTTAAGTTGGGCTTGAAAGTATGAACAAACGGGCAATTAGAAAACTCTAGAAAATGATCAAAGAAGCTGTAAAGATTCAAATGATTCTGGCTGTGGCTTCTGCGAGGACATTAACTTTGATTTACCTGCTCCAGAAAAAATGTTTTTCTTTTTAAAAACCTCAGACAGTTGCTGTTTTAAGTGGTTAAAGAAATAATTTAGTAGAATGCTCTTTTTATAATTAAAGCAGCGCTATTTGTATTTCAATTTTGAATTAACGGAAAGCGTACTGAGCCCCGTTGCGTATACTCCGAAGAAGAGTGAAATCTGGGAAATTCAGCAGGTTTAACAGTGAAACTGATTCCAATTGATGATCTAATGTTAGTGAACGTACATTAATGCCCCCGCATGCGTGAGGCCACTCGTATGTCTGTGTTTACTTACGGGTCTGTTTGTTTATGCGCGTGAGAGTGAATGCCACAGAAAGAGAATGAGCCAGAAAGGCTCATTTGTTTCAATGTGCTTTGTCAGCGAGCATTTAAATACCACCTTACGGCGGTTATGTAAGATTTGAAAAAACAAACATTTGGTTTGTGCAATCAAGAGAACAGTGAGAGAGAGCGGAAAGCGACAGGCGGCAGAGGTAGAATGGGGGGGAGAGAGGAACAAATGGAGCAACGGCCGAGCCGTGACACCAAGTTTAATCCCTGCAGCGAGCGGAGCACAGATATAAACGAGAGGGAGCAGAGCGGACGTGAAATAGGTAAAGGAAAGAGAGATTAAGGCAGAAGAAGAGAGGATAAATGACAAATAAGTCTCGTAAATTAGTGTTTTGAGAACTGCAGTGTTTACCAACAACAAAGCTGCTTCCGAAAAGTCCCAGCTATGTATTTATCTTTGTGGGACTGAGACGCCCCAGCTCTGTCTGAAAAACAAGTGCGCTTGTACATTTAAATGGGGGGTGCACTGCACGTAACAAAGGTCATCAAACATCAGTGTGCATCAACCCGTGTCCGTTTGCGTACGTGTGTGTGTGTGTGTGTGTGTGTGTGTGTGTGTGTGTGTGTGTGTGTGTGTGTGTGTGTGTGTGTGTGTGTGTGTGTGTGTGATGGTTGTGGGAGTGTCTCTGTCTCAAAGTCTTTGATCAGGGTTTCAGAACGGTGTCCGTCCCCATGGATACAAATCCCAAAAGCAACTTTTGCTCTTTCTGTACCGATTCCTCTCACATGACCGTGACCTTTCAGGGACATAAAGGCACTTCGAGGTGAATACATACGGAAGCAGCGCCGGTCATACAAAATACGTGGTATGAAAATATACATATACAGTCTGTGTTTCTGTGACGTTCTACACTTTCCTTCAGTGGCATAACCATATATATCTCTCCTGGTCGTGCTCTTGTGAGGATACCTGAGGGCTTCTGCTGAGTTTGTCCATCCAGCCTACATGGTTTTTTAATCGTGTGGGTGTCTAGTGAAGTCTTCTGACCCGTGCCTGGATAAGCCAAGTAACAGATAATACAGGACAGACACTAAAATCTGATTTAATGTACCACAATAGTCAAGCATTAATTATTCAGTTTGGTTTTACAGGTATACAGCTCTTGAATGAGCTGTAGAAAACATATTCTTGTTAAAAGTGTATAGAATGTTGAAGAAAGCTAACGGACGTCCCCTCATAGGAATAGAGTTAAGAAAATAAAATGTAATTAATAGATATTGTCACTATCGTCCCTTTCTCTCTCCTCACTAAAGCCAATACTACCCGGATCCTCATCCCGTCCACGGGGTCCAGCTGGTGAGAGTCGCAAAGCTGCAACATTACCTGGAACGTATTGAGGACGCTTTGGACACATTCAAACAGGTGCGAGGGACGAAATACCGACACAAACTGCGTAAAATCATTTTGTTCGTTTGTACAATTTGGTTCTTATTGTTTTAGTCAGACAAGCTTATGTCGTCATTTTAATGTAACTTTAGTTCACAAAGTTTCCTTTTTAGCATCTATTAGGTTTCTCAGAGTAGCATCACGTCTTAACGTTCCACTGCAGCTCATTACTATCGCACATTGTCTGAGCCACATGACAGCGAAGAAGCTCCTTGACATCCTTTAATTCTGCGTTCCCAGGCCTATCGGATCATAAAGCTCACCCACGGGGACGATCACCCCATGACCGCCCAGCTACTGATGAAGATGGAGGAATGTCGCGCTGAGATGGTTCAGTTCAACAGTCGCTGAGACGCAGCCGCAAAGGCTAAAACAAAGAAAAAATAGGACTGGACGTTTCTGTTATATGATGTTGTTTATCAGAAATCTTGTCCAAACTGAGTGAAATTTTTTAAGGTTCTTTCTACCCAGAATAACGAAAAGTCAGAATTAAAGCAGATGTGTGATGCTGTACAGCGGTGCTTTGAACTGTAAGGCTGATGGGCGTACAGGCAGTTAGTCAGGCATAGCATCCCATAATGAGCTACCAACCACTGATTAATTCCTCTGCACATAAAGATGTATAAAAACATTTTCCGTGTCCTGCATTTAATCCTCAAATTTACCATCTAGATGTGTGCGTGTGTCTCTTTGTGCGTACGTGCACTGTGGGTGCGTGTTGTTTTAGACGGGTTTTCCAAACGTCCATCTTCTATATATATTCATTGCACTCTTCCCATGTTAATCCCTGTTTTTGTGTTAATAGTTAAGCCTTGTGTTTCTCTGATGGAACGTGGTGATCGTGTCTCTCTCTCTCTCTCTCTCTCTCTCTCTCTCTCTCTCTCTCTCTCTCTCTCTCTCTCTCTCTCTCACACTTCCCATGTTAATCCCAAAAGTCTATCATTTGCAAACTGATGACAGCGTTTCCGCTAAGATGGAAACCCTGTGAAGTGTGTTTCTGTCGCTTATGGGACTAGAAACTTGTTTGGTATTTATGTTTATAAAAAGGTTTTGGTTCTCCGAAGCATGAGAACGGCCAACAAACCCCAAACCCTTCATCCGTCCTGAGTAAGTCAGCAGGAAACTACAGATATTCACCATAAAACAATATTGTATTGATCTTTTTTAGATCTCGACAATCACAGAATTACAAAAAGACTTACGACAGTAACATGTTACTTGCAGAACAATACAGTTCTTTTAATTTGCCCGCGCTGATGTGTGTGGAAGAGAAGGGAAAAGGCTTCCGTTAATTGGATGTCGAAGGGAAATGAAGGTGAAGGTTGAATGGAGTTGTAATGAATGTGGGGGACTGAATGGTCTGAGCGAGAAAGTCCTGCTGCACAATACCGCTCCTCCTTCCTCCATCACTCACATCGCTGGCTCTGCTGCTTTCCGTCTGACACCGTCTCCCTTTCTCCTCTCGCACGTCTTAACAGCTATTAAATTAGCTTTACCGTTGCTTAACCATGACCCTCCGTGTGTCTCTCCCTCTCTGCCACTCGCTGTCTGTCTCCCACCTTTCTCTGTCTCTCTCACTCCCCAAAGCCTTTCAAATTAAATTCACTATTCGTCGTCATCTCTCTCTCTACGGCTGCACGTCTCTGCAGGCAGCCGCAGCCAATCACAAAGAGGACACCTAGTGGTTTTAACCCGTCTTCATTCACGCACCCTCCTGCCATTTGCTCTCCCCCATTTTCAATTTTCATTTTCATTTTGTAGACCTTCCGTCTCACCGTGTCTCCTCCTGCACCACTTCACCTTTGCACTCTCTACTCTCCCTGATATCGTCTCTTATTTTTTTTCTCCCACTCCTCCTCCATCTTCTCTACAATTCTGTCCCTTCTAGTCTATTTCCACAGTCTAAATCAGAATGGAAAACTACAATCACCACAAGTTCAAGTCGCAACATTAGAACCTGCCTTCACTCTCAAATTGATTCTCAGGTCTCATAAAGAATTTTATTGGATGACAGCAAAATATTTCTAATTCTAATGGAATGTCAAATTGTTACATTTTATTGATGAAATCGTCCCTTCTCCCTTACCAACCGTTTCAAAGAGATGCTTCATCCTTTCAGATTATATTAACAGGCACACACGGCAGATTTGATCCCCTTATCCCATTATTTTCCTGTTTTAAAGCGCTCTGTGATCAGATCTTCATGGATATTACCATATCTTCATGAGCATCCTCATATTGGAATGAATCTAAAACGCTGCGCATAAACCCCACATCTTCACCACGTCCTCACCACCTCTCCACCGGTCTTTCATCTTAGATTGGGCTTCTTCGATATCAGAGCAGGCTCTTAAAAACAGAGGACCATTGAGATGAAGGGTAACTGCTTCTATTGCATCTTCCTGGAAACGATACAAATTTCCCGATGAGTCCTTGTTGGACTGAGATTAGCTAGTTTCCATGGTTTACTGATCTTTACCATGATAGCGTCATGTCTCTTCAGTCCACCACTTTCTACCTTACAGACAACGACTCCTTCTCACGTTGTTGATCACCAAACTTTCCATCCAGCGCAATAATGTGATTGACAGTTTTGACGGTTTTGAGGTGAATTTCTCAACAACTACAGGATGAGACATTTCTCATGCAATATTTGGGTAACTTTTCTGACACTTCCTGCTTGTGAGGCCAAAACCCTGGATGGCCGTTAGGCTCCACTTTCTGTCTGTATCAAAGTCTGAAATTCAAGACCAGACTAAAGAATGTGGCACTTAGCCGTTACCTCCAACATGAGTTCTAATGATTTTGGTTTTATTTTTTAATTTCTTTTTACTTTTCATCAAGGCTTCATCATCAAGTCTGGTTTTTATTCTATCCGTACTTTGTTGTTAAGGTGTAATTATTGAAAACTTACTATCAAGTAAGCTGGAGTTAACGTTTTAAAAAAAGACTAGTTAAATCCCTCAAATAGATTTGTCACGTGAACCACACTGCTTTTGTATTCTACCAAGAATATTCACTTTTATATATCACTTAAGTTAACAATTATTAGTTATGTAGACACCAACCTCTGCAACTGTAGCAACATCCAGCATGAAAATTTGCCTCACTATTTTAGGCAGGAAATTAAACTTTTAACTCCTACCATTGAACAGGTGTGTTTGTAATAATATTTATCTAAAATTATCTACATTTGTAA